GAAGGGGTGCCATGGCTGTGGGACATGACCTCTGCTGTGTCAGCAACGTGAGCCATCCGTATGACTTCTTCGTCGCTGTCGAAGGGGCACCATTTCCGGATGTCCCATCACTCCAAGGGGCTGCGAGCTGTGCCCGCATCTCGGCTTCCAAGGCCGCCCGGCTCTGGACCTTCGCTGGAGTCGGAGTGCGGTCTGGCGAGGGTTTTGTGGAATGCGTTGAAGGCAAGGGAATCATTGAAGGGGGGGGTATAAGAGTCCCTTGCTTCCCTAAAACGGACTTAAGACTCAACGACTTGCGGTTCATCTAGAAAAATATTGAAACCTCCCGTCTTAGTCTTCCAGGAGAATCAAAAGAAGCTTGAGTCAAGGCACCCCCGGCTTAAACACGGGTAGCCATGCAGTTGATGAATGTACAACATCGGAGCTGGGCGGCTTTGCACAGAGTCCAACCAGGCAAAAAATGCAGCCTTGAAGGATGGCAGCCTTGAAGGGTTCACATTATAGAAAACCTGCTCAGCCAATGGAAGGAATCAAGTCTGCAAACAGCTCTTACAACTTGTTGCCTTGTTGGGTATACAACGATGAAACCTAAACACCAAGCTTCTCGGCGGAATCAGGAAAGAGTTCTCTATCCCTTGTCTCCATGGCCCTTCGGCGAAAGGCGGAACCTACGGAACCTGCACAATTTGCTTCAATTCTCATGGTACTTTCTGACGCTATAACGGGGAGGTGTTGAGCCAACCCGTGGCACCTACCTTCTGGGAAAAAAAGACCAACTTGTTATATACCACCAGTGCTGTAAAGGAAATAAGTTCGTGCCCCTTTGTTCCAAGTGGCATTGGGAATAGGGTTTGGTAGCATTGCTATACCATAGAAAAAATAGATTATCTACGTTTTGGGCACGAATGGCTGTGTAGCTTTCTTCCTTTGGGGGAGTCCATCGATGTCTCTATTGATCCATCCAAGAGCCACCAGTCGTGATGTGCGGGGATCCCTGGCGATTCCTGCCTCCTTCTGCAGCTCGCGCTGCAAGGCCTCCTGCCTGCTCCGGGCCTAGCGCAAAAAGGAAGTGAAGGGACCTGCCTGCTTGCTGTGTGTGTGCGGGTCTGTGTGTGTGCTCCGCCCACCGTTGGTTGGTCGTTTTCAAAAGTAACCGAGTTGAAACCAAGTTGCTCCCAATTTGAAAAAATCGCAACCATCTGGGTTTGGATGCTCATGTCACGAGCAATTGATAAAAGAGCGTCATGTTTCCAGAAGCAGCTCATGGCTTGCCTTGACACCTTTCCCACTGATCTGTTGCACGACCTCTGCCGTGCATTCGCTACAAGTTGCTCGTGGGAAACGACTGTACAAAGAGCAACCTTGAAAAATGTTTGGATGCGCTTTGTTGTTGTTGCCCGGTTTTGTCTGCTGCCCCTCTGCTGTGTGGTTGTTTGCCTTTGGTTGATGTTCCGATTGGGAGTATGCGATAGTTCGTGTTTGAGACATTTGCCTTGAACTCGCAACACACTTTGTGGGTTCACTCCATGACAAATTACATATTATAATGTGCCACGCTGCAAACTGCGCGTGCAAACTTGTACTTCGACCATCGTGCTGTTTGACCTGGACCGGCAGCTTGTGACCTCTCCTGGCACCGCCATACTAGGACTTCATAATTTGTTGAGTCAATATCGTTTAGTGGTCGTAAAACCCAGGTACTTACAGCCCCCGGTCACAAAGAGAATCAGCTCAAACTGAGCAACATGTACGAGTATGTCATGTTCCCTGTCTGAAAAGAAGAAGCCCTTAACGCATGCCAGCATGCGCCTTGATTGGGAAGCCTGATGAGTGCAGTCCAAACAAACCATCCCGAGCTTCTTTCAAGCCAGCTGATCCAGCCCCTTGCAACTGCCTCCAAGAGCTGCGTGTGCAACCTCTTCCGATCCGACTGTAGCTTGGTGGCCTGCCGGCCCATTGGGAAGGCGAGGTGCGGCCAGCTTGCGGCAGGGACATTTGCCACGCCGGTCCAAACCGCGACTAGTTTACTAGCTGCTTTGAATGTAATCTTGCAGATTGTGTACAATATATAAAAAAAATAATGTGTACATATATATATATATATATGTATGTACATATCATATATATATATATATATGTGGTGCCCCCCCAAAAAAAACAGTTTTGTGAGAAACACTGGTATTTACAGTGCTTTGTCATCAACAATTGTATTTGCCAGAACACGCAGTTTTCAGGCCCCCTGTCTGCATCTGTCAAAAGCCTCTCATTTGGCAGCCAATGCTGCAACCAAGCACTACGATTGCGTAAGGGCATCTCTTCAAGGAAGCGCTTTGGAAACTGAAACGCTGAAATAACTGAAAAAAACCAGAAAAATTGGAAAAAACAAACTGAAAAAACAAACTGAAAAACCAAGGATTCAGGGGGACATGGGGGCCCCCCAGGCATGTCCTGAATCATCGGGTTCTTTTTTGTTCAGCTTTTTTCAGTTTTGTTTTTCAGTTTTTCAGTTTTCTCCTAGTATTCACCTTTATTATTCCCCTAGTATTCTCCTAGTGTTCACCTGTAATATTCCCTAGTATTCCCTGAATATTTCCGTAGTATTGCCCTATGATTGCCCTAGTATTCCCCTAGTATTGCCCTATGGTTCAGCTATTCAGCTAGTTTAGTAGTCGCTTGGTATACCCCTAGTATTTCCTCACTACCCCATAGTATTCCCTTGCAATTTCCCCTACCAAAGGGATGGAATTACTAGGGGAATACCTTTTTAGTATTGCCCTTGTGTTCCCCAAGTATTCTCTTGGTATACCCCTAGTATTCTCCCAGTATTCTCTTGCAATTCTTCCAGTATTCACCTTTTGTCTTCCCCTAGTACTTTCCTAGTAGTGCCCTAGTATTGCCCTAGTCAGGAAGCCTGAGAGAAGTGCTTGAGAGTATACCCTGGTATTCCTCAGTGTTCCCACATATTATCCTGGTAGTCACCTTTGATATTGCCCTAGTCTAGTATTCCCTAAGTATGTACCTAGTACTGCCCTAGTATTGCCCTAGTATTTCTTTAGTATTCGCTTGGTATACCCCTAGTGTTTCCTCACTACCCCCCTAGTGTTCCCCAGATATTTCACTAGTTAAGGAAGGGGGATATTAGGGAAATACCTTCAGTATTATCTAACTTTCTAGGCAGCTAAGTAGAGAACTAACTGATTAGCCAACTAACTAAGTGGCTTTAGAGCTAATTCATTACAACTATCTAACTGGCTAATTAGCTGACTTGCTGACTGTTTGTTTAACTAACTAATTGAACTTGCCAACATTCACTGCTAAAAGGTGAAACATATGCGTTTCGCAGAGGCGAAACAACACATGTTCTCAAAAGTCGCATTGTTCCAGTGATTTTGGCAATTGTCCAGGTTCAAAACCTGGGTTTTGGAGGGGGGGTTGCATATATAAATATATGCTCACCCCCCCCCCCCATGAACTGCCTTTCCTGCACTGCAAGCCCTCATCTGCACTCAAATTCGTCATCTGTGAGACCCAAACCATCCAACATCTGCATCTGCAATCCCAACAAACAAATCCTTTAAACATCTAATCTAATATCCTCAATGTAAATCAATAAATTCATCAATTGCTCGCTTGGATGGGTGACCTTCATTCTATGTAGTTAGTGAACTTAGGTGATTTGCTAATCCGCTTACAAATTGTCTAACTTAAGTTAATAAGTCTGCTAATTCAGACTTGGCAAACTTACTAACTCAGGTTAGCAACTTGAGGGCGACTTGGCAAGTCGCCTAACTACATAGCATGTAGGCTGCATATCCAAGCACCATGTCTTCGTCGAAGATCACCTCTTCGACAAGAGGTCACCTCCTCGTCAGGAGGTCACCTCCTCGTCTGGAGGTCTCCTCCTCCGGAACATCTTCTCTTCAGATCATCTTTGCGCGTTTCTGTTGCTCTCTACGCGAGGTTATGTCTCATTTGCTTTATGCCATCTTTAGCAACCTCCTGTTCTCATGCGCTTTAGCTCAAGTACAGGATATGGTTTGCAGACGATGGTCTGCTGGACAAGTGGCATAAGATGTGCCTCCAAAAGCAATGTGGCCTGATGCTTGCGCATCCTTCATCAACAAGTTCAGGCTTCAGCTGCCCAACGCCTTCCATTTTGTTAAGCTTGGCCTATATGAACTGAACACAGAGGACAACTTCTGCTTCGTAGTCCGCGCGTTCGCTGGATTTCTCTGTGTGGTGGTAGCAACTTGTTTGCGCAACTAACACGTCTTAAGTTTACATATTTTGCTTTGAAGGTTAGTCAGTCGTATTGTGCGTATATATGTTGTTTTTTAGATTTCCTGTAAGGTCGCACGTGTCGGCGAGAACGAGTCTGCCGCTTCCAGTCATAGCATGGTCGCTGTGCATTGGAATGAGAGCGATTCTCAGGTGATGTCCGGAAAAGATAAAAGCAACCCATTTTCTTGATAGATCGATCTATGTTCATTGAAGGATGGCTTGTAGACCCGGTCATAAATGAGAGTATTAAGCCAATGTCGGATGGGAAGCAACTGAAAGTTACTACCCCTCGACCTAGCACAGAGTGGAATCTTCTGATGACGAAGTACATTCAGAAGTGATCTTGTCTTTCCTGCGATGACGAAGTCCGAGAGAAAGATATATGGAACAAATATGCCTTATTCTACACGTACATAGTGGTCACCTTACAAAACAATATATTTTTGGTTTTTAGTCTTGTTTGATAGAGACCAAAAAAACCTTGAGAAAACCAAAAAAACAAAAACTCTGAGGACAAGTTTTGGTTTTGCCAAAAGCTTTTCTTGGTTTTCTCGAGGTTGTTTTTGGGTTGATTGGTTTTCCTCGAGTTGTTTTTTTCCCCTGAGTAGAGACCTAAAAAACTCGATGTTTTTTGGTTCTTTTGGTTCTCTCGAGTTTTTTTTGGTTTTCTATCAAATAAGACTAAACAAAAAAAAACATCGAGTTGTTTTAAGGTTTTTACACAGACAAACAACAACAACTCGAGGAAAACAAACAAAACTCGAGAAAACCAAAAAAACAACTTTGGCAAAACCAAAACTTGTCCTCAGAGTTTGTGTTTTTGTTTTTTTGGTTTTCTCCAGGTTTTTATGGTTTTCTATCAAATAAGACTAAACCCCCAAAAAAAAACATCGAGTTTTTTTAGGTTTCTACCCAGAAAACAACAAAACTCGAGAAAAACAACAAAAACTAAAGAAAACAAAAAGCAAAACTGTTGGCAACACCAAAACTTTCCTCAGAGTTTTGTGTTTTTGGTTTTTTGGTTTCTCAGGTTTTTATGGTTTTCTATCAAATGAGACTGAAAAAACAACAAAATTGTTTTTAGGTGCCTACCAAAATACAAAACCCGAGAAAAAACAAAAAAACTCGAGAAAACAAACACACAAAAAAGCAAAACGTTTGGCGAAACCAAAACTTGTCCTCAGGGTTATGTTTTTTTGTTGTTGTTTTTGGTTTTTGGTCCATATTGATGAGTTTGTTTGATTGTGTGCTTTATTGTCTCCATTTAAATTACAAAATTTGCTAAAATCATGGTGTTGTTTGAATACATTTAGTAAAACAATGCAAAACCTGTGGGTTTTTGCTAACTGTTTACAATTATCGGAATGCAACCGCGTAACGGAATCCGTTTTGCTCTAAATGTTGTTCTTATGATTTAAAAAAAAAAAAAAAAAAAAAAAAAAAAAAAAAAAAAACAGTGTTGTTTAACACTTCTTTGATACACTGCAGGAAAGGTAGTTCCTCGCGCATTATGAGAACCCCGTGTTTTCGTGTTTTCCTTCTTTCCACCCAACAAAACCCACCTGCCTGCACGGCGGCTTCATCCTGGCTTGCCACCGCCTGAGCCACAGCAGCCCGCAGCCGCTCCCTGGCGCGAAGGAGTCGCCCGCCCACCCAACACGTAGGTGGCGCGTCCGGGTTTTAGAGGACCCCCCAAAAATGGCCTCGGCCACAAAAAGGGTTGCCTCAAAAAGACATACCCGCATCGCAGGGCTTCCCTCTCTGAGGGCCAAGCTGCATCTCAGCCTTCTGGTCCTCGAGCTGTGCCACCTTTCCGGTACAGGAAGATGTCAGTTCTGTTTACTTGGATTGGTGTGGGTGTGTCAAAACAGCTCAAACTCAGACTCTTTGGGGATGCTGGGAGGACTCCCTATACTCCCCCTCTTGGTAGTCGTAAACATCAGCGCGGCTGCTTCATTCAGAGGGAATATGGGGAGCCCCGAAAGCAGCATGAAAACCACGCTTTTTGGAAGATCCAGTCTTGGCACAGACCCCATTTGGGGCCCCATTTATCCAGGGTCTGCCTGAGTGAGAAATCACCGCTGGGACAACGACTTTGAGAGCTCACGCTTGCACCCACAATTTGCAGACTTGTTCTTAGATCTGCAACATGACAAATGCCTGGTCAAGGACCCGACTTGAGAACTCCCCAAAGGATCCTCAATGGGTTTCATTGTTTCACCCTCCCAGGTGACATCACCATGTAAATTGACAGCACTTGTCGTGTGCAGCGCTACGTCCGGGCATGCTAACCATGGCGTTTTGCCCTAGGTTTGCACAAAGCGGGCAAACAGTAAACAAACAATAGAACGGAGTACATGGCTGTCGAAGCTTGTCGGCGCAAGCTACAGGGCAGTCATCCTCTCTTGACCAGAGGCGACTGTTCAGAATAAAATGCCAGTGGCTGCTTTGGTTCTTCCCGCACTCGAACTGGGTATTCTGTAATGGGAAATGGACATTGGGACGGCATGCAAACAAAGACCAAAAGAACCATGTTATGATTAGAATCCCTGATTTTAGTAGATACCGTGCTGAAAGCACTTCAAAGCCTTCCGGTTGCCAACCTGGGCGACAAACAGTGCATTCCACCCGTGCTTCCTCCTGAAGGCAACATCCCCCACAGAGACGGGTTTTCAGCACCCAACTTCCCAAACGACTAGGCGCAAGGCTTCCGACAAACGCGAGTTCTGCTGGCCGTGCATGTCGCCAATGGCCTCCCGCAACCGCACTGATCAACCACGAACAGGCCGTCGAACGCACCGGTGCAGATGACAGCCTTTGGACTTTCTGCCTCCCGAATTGCTCCTTGGCAGTCAAGTGCGGTTCAATAAATACGCACACGGCTTGCTTCAACAGTGGCAAGACGCTGCTTCAAGGCATACGCTTCTGAGCGCCTTGGCCCAGTTGGCTTTTGGAATCCTTGCCATTTCAAGTGTCATTGAACATTGCATCTCATGCACTCGCAGACCGCCTTGGGGCAGGTATCTCAGGCATGCTCTTGGGCTAACATACAGACTCTAAGAAGGACAGAAATGCTGTCTTGCCAAAAGAGAACCGGGAGGTTCTAGGTACCTCAGAAAACGTCGACTTCCAAGGCAACCATGTACAATAGTGCTTTTGTGGCCCTTGTCTCTTGTGGCATCTCCGGGCTAGCACTGACACAGCAATTATTGACGTGTCCCTTGGGTGGGGTCCATGGGAAAATGTCCCAAGCACAACGGAGACGGTACTGATGGGAGAGCGCAAACGCCAGGGAAGCAAACCGAGTCGACAGCAGCAGAATGGCAAGGCTTCAGAAAGGGACTTGCCTACACCAGCACCGGAACAAGGACCGCGTCTACTTGGTGGTTTGTCATGTCAAGCCTGTTGGCTCTGCAGCGGCTCTCCTAACAAAAGATCAGTCGTCGCACAGAGGGGAACGAACGGAAGCCAACTTTAGAACACACTCATACCGACAGTCGGAACAGCACTATGACTCTTTTGGTCCCTGTGCAAATCTAATGGGAAGGGGGGAGACACTTTGCTGTGTCACTGTTTTGAGGTCCTCCAAATCGCAGCTTTCTTTTCGGGCTATTGAAAACCATTTCAAGGGATAATCCAAAATGAACTCATATTCGCGCCATTTTGCGCCCTGGGTGGGTTGGCTGTCAGCCCTCAGCAGCGCTCGCACCCTGGCCATCCCCCATTGGCCTCCTCGAGCTTCTCCTCGAGGCTTTGAACTCTGCCCTGGCGTCGGAGCCACAGCTTTGGCTGGACTGAGGTGTGAATGCCCGGCAACAGCAAAATCCCCACAGCCTGCTCTAGACTCTAAGCCCGACAGCGTATTACCCTGTTCGCTTCGCTCCCGGTGTGTGTGTGTGTGTGTGTGTCCAAAAATGCATATTTTGTTTTGTGTGTGTGCGCATGTGCGTCTATGTCTGTGCCTACGCCTTGGTCTTTGCAGGCCAGGCAAGATTTCTGCTCTCGTCCCTGTCACTGCAAGGTGCGACCATCGCTTCCGTCTCTTCCCCCGCTGGCACCAAGCCTGCAGGATGGCACCTGGAGCAAGGCTCAAAGGTGCTTTGAGACAATCTTGAGTCAGCCTTTGGGACCCCTGCAAAAGCGAATTCAAAGGATGTTGCCTCCTTGACTTGCTCACCCAGAAATTGATTTCATCAAAAGACCCTGCATGTAGTGCTTTCGTTTGCCATGTTGGGTCGTGAGGGATTTGGTCTTTGGGTCTGGTGGTTTCCCTGAGCTGCTCACGGTTTGCATTCACAACGCAAAACATGTGCTGGTCACAAGTTTGACTGTGGGTTTGATTGATTCTGAAAGATTGAACAAGTGCAGCTCAGATTGCGACACACAAGGCATACGGAATTCCGGCAATCGATGCTTGCCAATGCACTCGGTGAACGACTGGCTCGGCCAATTTAGGGGTGGTTCTCTACGGTGTCAGTCTACTCGTAAGTGTTGAAGTGTTTGAATGAAAGAATAGTCGCGTGAGCTGGATAAGGGCAACCTCGCCCTCAAGACATGTCACCATGGATGGCACAAATAATTTGAGTAGCGGGAAACCCTCGCCTGTTGACTGTTTGTTCAGGCTGATACAGCCCTCACTATACTTAAAGAAGGGGTCGAACACTTTACGATCACATATCTTGGACTGGCACTTGAAGCCCCAAATGTCTATGTCAAACAAAGAAGCGCAGACCGTTCTAGGCATGGAGTGGGCATGGGAGAAGGCCCCTCTTGGTGGATCCCATCTTCCTCCCATGGTCCCCAAATCTTCCCAGTCCCCGCCTGCGCCCCGCCTTGCTTTTCTGAATGTCAACAGTAGTGGATCCAAAACTGGCGGGTCCCAAAGCAAAGGTCCCCTTCTGTATCTCGCCAATAAAGTACAGGCCCCAAACTCGCCTCGCAAGCTCTGAGCCGCTGAGCCGCGGTTCTGAGCCGCTAAGCTCCGCACGCTCTGCGTGAAAGAGCTCGCGCTCCCGCAGCAGCTCCTCCAAGCGTTTGAGCGTCTTCACGCTTGCATCCCAGTGGTTTGTCTGACGATCTACGACTCCCCCCCTCAAACAAAAGAGAGGAAACCACGGTGAGGCATTCGAAGGCTTTAGCCTTTCTGTGGCGGCCCAAAACAGGTAGTCTCCTTTTGGTTCCCTTCCAGCCTACCCCAAAAAGGGTACCCTACAAAACACACACACACACACAAATAGGAATGACGTCACCCACGGAATGCGCAAAGCCGGATGAGCAGGTCTTGATCTCCTCCTGCACTCTCTGCATCTCCTCCAACTTCTTCGCAACAAAGGCCTGGCCAAACGGCTCTCACAGGCACGCTTGCGAGACTTTGATCATTGGGAGCTGCGGCCGTAAGCACGAAGAAACACATCCGGCCCATCGATCCGCGGACTAAAACCGATTACCTGCCATCAAGCGATACGGTGTCCCTGCGGCAACCGTAAAAGAAATCCTGCCTCCACGACCGCAGAGGGCTCGTGTGCCACCTCTAAGTTGATCTGGGGGCGATTCCTTGCGAACGCCAGGACTCAATGGATGCGACCCTCATCGCCCAAGCAATGCAGGCTTGTATCAAAAGACAGGGGTCGTGTGGATAAACATGTATCTTTTGAGGAATCTCAATCTCCTTTTGGGGGACCCTCTTTTCGGGTTCTAAATTGCAGGGAGCCTTGCTTTCCTTTCAGTGTCGTTTCGAACACCAAGTAGAAGCTTCCGCCTTTGAGACGCTCCCTGTCCTCACCAGCTTCGCGCGCTTGCCGAACTCCAAGGAGCACCTGGTCTCCTGCGAATGGAGGCTCAGAATTGGTCGCGCTGTGTGCGATGCACCATAACCAGAAGCCTCGAACGGGGGGGGGCCCTGTTGGCCTCGCGGCCAAAGGACGATGTGGATCAAGTTGATTCATAGCACCTGCTTTGGGACCTCTAGATTTTGGATGACTTGCGGCGTCGCTCTCTCAAGCTAGTGTCGCATTGAGGTTCGGCTTGGGTTGAACGTCTCGAATGCTTCTTTGCAACACATCCTGAACAGCTGCATCACATATTCGGCTTTCGGTGCTGCTTGGCCTGAGTTTCTCTGTGTCTCTAGTTCTCTGTGTCTTGGCCTGAGTTTCTCTGTGTCAGTGCATGCAGCTATACAGGCCACTCTTGCACCCGATGCGCCGATGTGTGCCTTAGACGGAACTGAGCACCAGCAAATAGCCAATGCACCGACCTTCTGTGCGTCCACAAGCGTGGACTCTGCATGGCGTGGCCATTCTTGCGAGGAAGGCCCTCTGCTCATCTACAAAGTCCTCTCAACCCGAGGACAAGGCAAAGGGGTGTGAGTGAGAAGGTTGCAGAACAAGCGTGGATATGCCAAAACTAGGGCTTTCTGTCATAATGCTTTGCTTTTACAACCATCCCCAAAACAGGATCCCTGTTTTCGTCACACAGGGGGTTTACGTCCGTTCAGTTGAAGAAGTCTCCAACCAAAATCAAAGTCGCTTTCCAATGCAAACTCATTCCTTGGTCATTGTTCAGCCGTAACCCGCCGGGTCATTGTACCACACGTTTACCGGAGCAAGCGCCGCCCGGATCACTCGAAATCCCAGCGCCTCTCTGTCGGACGACTGCACTGAGCAAGTGATCACGAGGCACGTCTTGGAGCTACCACCAAAGCCTTAGACATGTGCAGGGTGTGCAAAGGAAACCCATGGAAAACAAATTACACCCATGTTTTTGGCAAAGGAAAGCATAAGGAAACCATGAAGCCTCTTTGTTGGTAGGGTTTACAAATTCCCTCTCCCCAATGTAGGTTTATGCTGTGATACATTGCCTCCTTGGGCATCAAGCACAAACTGTACCTTCATGAACCAAACGAACGAGCTGTTACTTATTTCGCCTGCGCTCGTGGAGTAAACATGCAAAACACCAAACCATGGCAACATCAACCTCCTGAATGGTATCGCCCATGACAAAGCCATAGCGCATCATAGTACAACATAAATACCCTTGCTTCCACTGAGGACACAAGCCACCGAATGGCCGACAGACGTGGTTGTGTTTCATAATCAGGGGCCGTGCACTTTGGGGGTGGTTGTGTATAAAAGAAAACAAAAGAAAATCAAACATTTGGAAAAGTCCCAAGTTTTGACATACCAGCGGCGTAAGTTCATGCTCTCAATCGAAGCGGAACTTGTTTTGTGGTTGGTTTCAAGGGAAACTCAACGGACACCGCCCTTTGGAGGGGTTCCCGCAAAAAGAGACAACCCCTTGCTTGTTGCTCCAAGGTCCCAGGCTCTCAGCCAAAAGTCTCGTCAGCATCGAGTCCCGGTATGGCACCAGCCTCAGGGTTGCGCAACGGGGGCCTGTTAAGCAGAAAAGAAGTTGATCGATGAGGCCAAGACTCTTTACATTCAGCCCTGGAAACAGGCTGGGCAAGGCGCAGAATGGCTGTGAATGTGCCCCAAGACTTCCATGGAAAGCTCATGAGCCCAGACTTCCAGGTGCCCGTGCTGTAGTGAGCCGCCTGTCTGGCTGGTCAACCGCTGGATCACCAAAGCGAGCTGAGACAGCGACCTGAGCGAAGTGAATGTGCACTTCTCTGCCAGTGGCCACAGCAAGCGTCTCTGGAGCAGTTGTGCTTGAAGGTGCGGACTAAGTGCTCATGGTCGTGTCGACGTATGTGTCTTTGTGTGGGGGATGTTTGTGTGCGCGCGGCGTGGGTGGGCGGGTGGGTGGGTGGGTGGGGGGTGGGGGTGCGGGTGCGGGTGCGGGTGCGGGTGCGGGTGTGGGGGGGTGGGTGCGTGTCAGTGGTGGTCTAAGGAGTGTGCTCCGAATCTGCTAGCAAATACGCCGGAGAATTGAACTGGGTCTGCACGGCCGGATTGCCTTGTGTATATACATGTGTATGTGCGTGTATATATATATATATGTATATGCAAAGTATGTATATACATATATATATATATATGTATCTCTCTCCATTTATCTCTGTCGCTCTCTCTCAGCTGACAAGTTGTCCACTGCTCGTTCACGATGCTGCCCCGGAGCCTGCTTGGTGTTCCCCCATAGCATGTCCCAATCATTCTTTATTGGATCCGTTTCTGCGTTGTTGCATAGTTGTGGAGCGAAACCACAGACCATAATGCACTCATGAAGCCAAGTAACCCGCTATAGGAAATTCTACAAGAAACAGTGTTTTTAGTGGGCATGCGGCCAATTTCCTGTAGAACTTCCAGCAGCTGGCTTCTATGAATGAAACTCACTTGGGGAAACAATATGATCTTTAAAGATCTTTGAAGGCACCCTAACCCTGCACTGGTCCCGGGCTTGTTGATCTCTCCCGCTTCCCGCCGCTGATCCCGCGGGGTGCGCAGCCTGAGCATTTGCCAGCGGGGAGCACGGCCCCCTGAACGTTGGGCGGTTCAAAATGGAGGGTTTGCCGATCCGATTTTCCATCGGATTGTTGTGAATCGGGAGGGTTGGCCAGATTCGAGGTTCTAAATGGAGGTTTATCCAAACTGGGAAGCTGCTACAAAAAGGACTAAGTGGTCGCCAAACTGCTTCTTTCTGAGTTGGGTCTGTCTGTAAATGAGGAAACCCGCAAAACGGGTGGTTTCTCTGCATAACCGCCTTGTGTTGTAGTTGCGTGTTTCTGCCCTGAGGATGAAGGCCCTGCATTCCCGCACATCTTTCTCCTTGAGTGCAAGCACTTAATGTCTAAAACTCGCCGTAGGCGTTTCTATGCACAGTGACAGGGAGAGTTGCCCCTGGGAGCAATAAAGTTTGAGTTGTTGCTCAAGGCTGGACAACCAAATCCATGGCTGAATTGGCATGATTCGCCCTTCAATGAGCATTCTCCCTGTCAGTGAAAGAAAACATTCAACTGTTCAGGCTGACCTCAATTGAGTGACAGCGGGGCACTTGCGTCAGTAATTCTATACAAGGCCTGAAGGCCCAAAAGAAAGGACAGTGTGACTACAGCCACCCGCAGCATGAGCTGAATCGGCACTGGTCGTCGGGTTGTCGGGGAGCATGCCACGCCTGAAATGACTGAAAATCAGCGACCTCCGGAAACCGTACCTAATGAGACCTCATGGGCAAATGTCCCCTCTGGACCAAGAAACGCAGCGCTCTGGACCCGATTTGGTCACCAGGAACATTCCCGCTCTGCCGAACCATCCACATGAGACGTGTCCAGCGATGTGGGTTCCCGCCTGCATCCACGGCAGCCGTCTGCGGGACATTGCGCCGCTGTCCTGGCCCCGCACGACCGCCGGGGTGTCAGGGCTCTGGCAAAGCAACAACCGCTGGGGTTGAACCTGCAATGGGGTAATCAAACACATGGACACCTGCATCCTGTTAGTCGCTACAAGCCCGGGTCCAGCCAAAACGCACGCCCCTGATAGCCTGAGTGGCACACGTCCCTCAAGCAGTGGCTCACATATAGCATGGAGCATCACAGTCTCTTTCATCATCAATTCGAGAGCGCGCAGTCCAACTTTTGGGGATAGACAGTTGTTGGGCACGAATGATGGCGAGCTTGGGTATTCAAGGGTAGCCTGGATTCCTTTTGTCCCCCTTGTTTTTCAATTGCATGAACGAAATCCAAAGAGACCTTTCTTACTTGGACATACAATGCCTCTTGGCCGGCTGAACGGGTCTCCATCGATGTTGCGAATGCGCAAGACCTGTATGCATGTGGCTGGCGGCTTCGAGGTTGAAAGTGTTTGTGGCCCGGAGACAAGTCATGTGGACAAAAAGGGCGACCCTTTCTTTTCTGATTTCAAGGGAAGCAGGGCGCTGGGGCCCAGCATGCCATTCAAGACGGCAAGTCATCAACCAAAAGAACACTTCACATCACATCGTCTCATGGGCTCGGAAAGCCTTTGCGTGGCTGCTGCTGCGGCAAACAGCAGGCCTGGGCGTGGGGGAAATGAGACAGCCTGAGAGCATGTTACCACCCTGACTGCAACGCAAAGCGGCTCCACTGAGCAAGCCTTTGAGAAAAGAATTAAAATCGAGAGAAGCACGGCTCTTGTTCGGAAACGAAAATAAAAAGAAGGGCAGGTTGGATGTGGACCGTCCGCCCCGCGACCCATGTGTGCATGCCCCAGCTGCCTCCAGCTGCCCCAAAGCTGCGGATGCAGCTCCAGCCCCGCCCCCAGTTGGATTGTGCCCGGAATGCAGCTGCAGCTGTGGCCCTTGAAAAGTCACCAGCCCTGGTTGGACTACGACTACAGCTGTCGTTCAGTGCCAAGCGGATACTTTCACGCAGCTGATACTTCACTCATGCCAGTCGTTTCTTGCCAGCTGCCCAGCTTCCCCACGCCTGGCCCTGGAGTAACAACGGAGATCAAAGGAAGCCTCTGACCAAATAAGCCCTGGCCAAGGCAGGCAGCGCTAAATTTTGTATGGTCATATCCCTGTTTGACGGGGCGCATGCCGTGCGTGCCGATACCCGGTAGACTCACCATTCCGATTGGTGTCTTTCCAGTGGAGTCGCACCTCCATATTTGGTTTGCTATCCGGTCAAATTCCAATATGATTCCCCTAGGGAACAGGATCATTGGAATAAGATGGAATAAGTAATCAATGAAAGTTGGGGGGGCAGGGGGCGCGTCGGGTAATCTAAAATTCATGTTGTTCTCAGTTGTCAATTTGGACAGGTGTGCCGAAAACAGGTCATCAATGTGCACCTCCTACTTCACAAGCTCACTGAAAAGCTCGAGTTCCTCCTCACAAGCTGCACATAGTGTAGATGTGTGTTGTTTGTGCAACGCTGATCAACCAAGGTATTTGTATGGTCGGTAGTCAAGGTCAATGTTGGGGGGAGGTCCCAAGAAATTGGAGACCCTTTGGATGGTGAGTCGAAACCAACAGGAAAACCGACACAATGCGTGGGATATCCCAATTTCGGACACACCCAGATTCTCCAAGGTCACAACCCCAAAAGCGCGATCTGATGTGTTTGAAATCCCGGCTTGGACGTAGCATTGGCCAATACTGAACAAGAGACTCTGATCAGGAATCTGTTTTGCAGCCTGTGACACATTCAAAAATTGCGTTTTGGACAATCCACAAACTCTCATTCAGAGAATGTGGTAGATGTCTCGAGATCTCTAGCACCAGCTGGCGGCACTCGCAAGCCCTGCTCCGCGCATCAACGGGGCTGGAAGCCAGGGAATCTGAGCCTGCTCGCATGCACGGGTGGCTGCATTCTGACTCTCAACATCTCGCTGGAGCTTTGCCTGGCAGGAAGACGCCAACAAAGCAGCAGCAAAACGCCACTTCCTCGCGCCAGCGCATGCAATGGTACCTGAGCTAAAACTGATCACATCCTGTTCGAGTTGCGAGGAACGCATCAAATCAAGCAAGTGCAGGGCCCGCTGCCACTCCGCGCCCTTCTCACAGCCGCTAATGGCTGCATTGAAGCTGATGCTATTTCTTTGTACTGCTAACTGTGGCATGGACCAAAAAAGATTCAAAGCCGGCACCCACTGGCCAGCTTTCTCACATGAACTAATTGCCGCGCTGCAGCAAACAACATTGGCCGGAATGCTCACGTCGAGCATCCGTTGGAAAAGCAAGAGGGCTTCTTGCCAACGTCCGGATTTCTCGCATGCGCTTATGGATGAACTGTAGCTGATGACGTCATGTTGAAGCTTGGCTTGTCGCATGGCTTGAAAGAGCCACAATGCCGGCTGCCATTGCCCACCCTTCTCGCATGCGCTGATGGCTGCGTTGAAACCAACACTGTCGTACTTTAGTCTGCCGTGGCTGAGGCTCGCAACAAGTCCAATGGCAAAGCGCCACATTGCCGAGCTGGCACATGCGGTAATAGCCGCGTTGTAGCTAACAGCATTTTGCTGAAGCTGAGATGTCAGCAACGTTCCTAAAAGCAATAGTGCTAGCTGCCATTGTTGACCCTTCGCGCAGGAGCTAATGGCCGCGTTGTAGCTGATCACATCCTGTTCGAGTTGCGAGGAACGCATCAAATCAAGCAAGTGCAGGGCCCGCTGCCACTCCGCGCCCTTCTCACAGCCGCTAATGGCTGCATTGAAGCTGATGCTATTTCTTTGTACTGCTAACTGTGGCATGGACCAAAAAAGATTCAAAGCCGGCACCCACTGGCCAGCTTTCTCACATGAACTAATTGCCGCGCTGCAGCAAACAACATTGGCCGGAATGCTCACGTCGAGCATCCGTTGGAAAAGCAAGAGGGCTTCTTGCCAACGTCCGGATTTCTCGCATGCGCTTATGGATGAACTGTAGCTGATGACGTCATGTTGAAGCTTGGCTTGTGGCATGGCTTGAAAGAGCCACAATGCCTGCTGCCATTGCCCACCCTTCTCGCATGCGCTGATGGCGGTATTAAAGCCAATTGCGCTTTGTTGAAGCTCAACCCGATGCAACATGAAGAGGCCCAAGGCCCTCTGCCATTCCCAACCATTGACGCAGCCGTGCATGCCTGTACAGTAGCTGATGACGTCATGTTTAATCGTTGCCCTAGGCATGGCATCGAGCAAAACCAGGGCAACAAGCCACGGTGTGGCCGCCATGACAGTATTGAAGCTGACGGCGTTGTCGAGTCCGCTCCCCAAGAGCCGCAAACCTTGCTGCCACTCCCTAGCCCTTTGGAAGACGCCCAGCACGGCGTTGTGACTGAAGACATTCGGCAGCCCTCGGCTCCGGACGACCTGCACAGATTGTTGCCACTGAATCTGAGACAGGACCACATTGGAGGCGACATGCACTGGACGTGGGGCCACCATCTGCGGGCCGGAGAAACGCTCGACATTTCAAGCCCTCGGTTCAGAGGCAAATCACAGCGGCAAATGGATGGCATTGGGACTGCACCTGCATTGACTGACCAACAACCTTATATTCTTCATCCATGAGGAACACCATCGCAGCTACTACGCCTTTGTTTGCTGGTTCTTTTTGGGGCGACTCCCGTGCCGTTATGCGCTGTGAAATTACCATGGTTGTAGAACATATTCCTTTCTGACACCAAACATGGGCTGGCCACTTGATCACATGTTTGTTGAGCAAAGGGCAAATAACAAAACAAAATGGAGTTGAGGGGGCCTATTCCACCAATACCTCAAAATCATGGGAGAGTAATGCTTGATAGTATTTAGCCCCTTGTATTAGAACTGGCACGCTCTTCGTCCATGAGCAAAGGGTCGAACCCCTTTTATAGGTTTAATGGACAAGCCATTTCTTGCCAGCAGGTCTAAGGGGCTAAGGTCACGCAAAAGACCAACCATGAGAGAGGGCCGGACCGTCGTTTTCAACTTGCTGCGAGGCGCCAAGGGCGCGAAGCAGCCAAAGAGCGAAGCAGTTTCCTCGCCCGCTGATCCCTCGCCTGCCGAACGAAAACACAAAGCAACGAGGAACAAATGGAATGAACAGCAACAACAACCGCCAACCGACCGAGCGAGAGAGCAAGAAAGCAGGAACAACGCCAACCAGGCAACACCAAACCAGCCAGGCAAACACAAACATGAGAGCTCATACACAGGCAATCAATCAGCGTACCGCCAACCAAAACCAACCGAAACTAAACAAACCAACGAACTAACAAGCCAGCCAGCCACCCACTCACCCAGCCAGCCAGCCAACTAGCTAACCAGCCAAGCAAAAAGCAAGGGAAAGCAAGTATAAAAACAGGCACAGCAGCAACCAAAACCAACGAGCCAGCCACAAAAACAAAGCGAACAACTAGCATACCACTTACCAGAACCAACCAAACAGCCAGCCAGCCAACTGACTAACTAACTAACTAACTAACTAATCAACGAACCAAACAATCCAGCAAGCAAGCGAGCGAGCGAGCGAACAAGCGAACAAGCGAACAAGCAAACAAAGAACAACCTCAGAGAACTGCTATTTTCAGTTCACCCTCCAAGTGCCCCTCCCCAACACCTGATCATGGGTACACTCGGAATGGGGGCCCCATCCCTTTGAAGGATTGGTCTCCCTTTCTCCCTTTGATTTACCTTCAAAACATATTGGAAGAAAGGTAAAAGCTAGTGCCACAGCAAGGGCAAGGGCCTTGACGCGGCCACACGAGGAAAGGCCGTCCAAGTCCAGAAAGAACAAATCTGCTCAACGGCTGAAGCTCTTCTTTGAGCGAGTGGGAAGAGGAAGACAATGCCGACCCCACTCCAAGACAAGCCCAAGCAAACAGCCCGCTGTAGATGCTGGCGCTCAGGTTACCTGACATACCACCAAAGCTTGGCACAAGCACAGAAATCAGCCACAGACCGAGACACAACGAAAACAGAAACAAATGAACACACAAAAAGGAAACATGGCCCTGCGTCCAGTCACCCGCTTGCCATGATGAATCCTTCTAGCTCAGTTTGGTTGAACATAGATGGATCCCACCGATTTCGGCTTCATGTGGATTATCTAACCCGCGCCATCTATTTTTCTGAAAGAGCATCTAGGATCAACACGTCACCTCTCCGGCCTTCCGCCTCAGCCACAAGGAAATCGGAGGCTACCTCAGGCTTCGGGTGCCAACCTGCGGGCGGTTGGTCTCAAGTCAATGGAGCTCGCGTGGTAGTGATGTCAGGGCCAAGTCAAAACCATATCCAAAGAACGAGCTCCCTCTAGGCTTCAGTGCATCCAGGCTGAAACAGGCGAGCGGGGAGTCAGGATTGGGCAGTGCACGGCACAGCCTCAAATGTTTCCAAATACTGAAAGAGTATGAAAGCGGCCAAAGCCGCCTGCGGTTTCAGAGGTTGCACCAGCATCGAACCGCCAAAAGACAAACTTTGGCAAGCACATTAGCTTCAGGTGCAGCGAGTTGCAGAGCATAGTTCTACATGGCCATCAGTCAAAGCTGCAAAACTTGAAACGGGAGTTTCGTTCTGGTTTCTGCTTGAAGTCGACACAAAGATGTCCGTAGGTTTGACACATCCTACATGGCTTCCCCCCATGTACAAGAACTGGCTAGGCCATCCGGGCCAGACATGTCACCAACGAAAGTGAGTGATCCTTACAAAACCGGGCATTTGTGCCACACAACTTGCCATGTCAGAGTGGAGCCGGATAAGTTTCGGGCATCAATCCCTCAGATTCAGGATCCGTTTTGTGAGAACAAACATTGGAGTTCGACAAACCAGCGTTAGTTGGTGGAAGCCTCGGTTCGATACACCCCTAATGAATGAAAGTGGAATCCTTTCCTGCAGGCACCAATGTGTTCACGGCTGCTCCAGCAAGAAAACAGTTGTCTTTCGTGCTGGCGCATTTCAGGCTGCCCGCAATGTATAGGCCACACAAAGCTGTCAAATACCGTGATGTTGTCCAAGCAAAGTTGCACCACAGACTTTTGGTCTTGGTCGCTGCTGCTTTAAAAAAAAACACTTGATGGGACTCAGAGCCCGGGAATTGCGAATGCAGCAACATATAGAAAAGTACATACGGCAAAGTATATCCGATATACTTTTGCGTATGTTGCTGCGTTTGCAAGTCCTGGTCTCTGAGGCCAATCAAGTGGTACATCGTTTTACACGGCACAGAAGCAGCCGGGGTCCTTCCATCTGCGCAAATCTGCGCAAATCCTTTCGCAAATCCTTTTGGCAGCGACGCATCTACAGCCAGGTTTATTTCCTGGCCAGCGACCCTTGCAAAAGCGGAAACTCTTTTTTGGGTTGACCGTGAGAAAGTTGGGGGCCCAACAAACAAACAGGGAAAACGGGTGCCGCTGCACAACTGGGCTTTTCTTAAAACAGGGGGCCAAAAAAATATGTTCAGGTCCTATTTAAGCCACCCCGTTTAAGGGAAGCCTCAAAAAGCACGCGGAGCGCCGCCCGGCCTCGCGTTCCCTCTTCGTCAAGCGCCGGGATGGCACGTGCCATGAAGGCATCAGTGTCCAGTCGCCAGCCCGTGCCCCCAAACCTAGGCGGGAGCTCATTCGCCTTGGGCCTCGGGGTGTGTAAAACATGGTGTTCCCCCGAATAAATAAATAAATAAATATATATATATATATACACGTAAATGCGTGTCTCCAGCAGCTTTGTGTGTCTTCGAGCTCGAAGAGCGACCATAGAGTATACCGCTGACGTGTTTTGTTGCACCAGAAGCTCCTCTTGCGACGGGCTCCTGATGCCACGTTGCCCCTAATTACATCCTCGCCAGCTTCACCAGCATCGCCAGCATTCCTGCATCGCCAGCATCCAGGCTTTCCAGCATCCCTTACATCTCTTGCATCCCTTTCCAACCCAAAAAAAGAATGGCCTCCTCAGAGTAGGTTTTGGCTGCAGTCTTCGTGTGCTTGGCTTTGGGTGTGCGCCGCGGGCGCACGCCGCGCGCAAGCACGCGCACGTGCACGCACGCGTGCAAGCAAAAGCAAGTGCACACGCACGCACACGCGCGCACACACACACACACGCTCACACATGCACGCTGGGGCGGGTGGGGAGGGTGGGCGGTGAGGGGAGGGAGGGTGGGTGGGCTGGGTGGGGTGGGTCGGGTGGGTGCTGAGTGGAAGGGAGAACCTCTGCAGCCAACCAGCACAGCTGGTGATGGCGAAGCCCTAGGATAAAGTGTAAATGTTATGTATTATATATATATATGCTGTTTTACGTTAGGTTTTCCTTTAAACCAACCAAAAACGGGTACCCTGAAAAATCACCAAATGCTCTGATAACACAGACAACTGAAACTGGTGCCAAGGCTCTTCTCGGCTTCATCTCCTAGTGATATCAACGTTCATTCCAATTGGAACGACAATTCAGAGCAATCCTGTCCGCACTGAGAATAATTTGCGTCCGCCTTTTTCACATGCGAGTTGTTAAGAAACAATTACATAAATTGCTCCCACGTCAGGACTGTCTCTTCATAAAAGGGAAGGCCGACAATGTCCGAACAACTCAACATACTTGCATTAAATAAGTAAGATGAACCTATCTATGTCGTATAATTGCAAGGGCCCAAACTCCCAAAGCCAAGGCATAATGACCGGATGAGTATCATGGGGTGTTCAGCTCACGTGCCGCTGATAGTTTGACAACCAGGGCAAGTCTTGATAGGTGGTTCAACAAAAAGGAGACGTCCAGTAGCTGCAGGTGCCTGTTTCTGACATGGCTACAAGGCTTGTATTGCTTGAACAGGCATGGCAAGAGCTGGGCTTCGCAACTTTACTGGCGACGGACACGCTGCTAAAGTCCGAAGTCCAACCAAAATTGAAGTCTCACACCAAAAAAGACCTGTTGGGATGGATTGCGAAGCAAACAAAGCAAGCCCACCAATGAACAAAGGGTACCCAAATCAGAAACGCCCAGATCATGATCAGTATAATTCTCCGCTCGCACAGCTCGTGCACAGCCTTTGCATCTCAGTGGCTCTTCTGGCAGCTCTGAGGGGTCGTACCACTCCTTGGAAAACCAGGCGGGCTAGGCTAGGCGCAAGCGGGACCAGCTCACAGGATCTGGACTACGGCTGCAACAATGGCGTGCCCTGAAGTGAACTCGGAGGGTTAAGCCAGGGAGAACAAGTCTAGTCGACCTGTTTCTTGCCTGGCTGGGAATGGAGCCTGGCACATTTGAGGGAGCAGGTGACAACGCACACAAATCTGCTATCTGCCCAAGACTCGAAAAGCTGCTCCAAGGGCGGATCCGCTTTGCCGCCCAAGAACAAGAACTTGTCCTGGGCAAGGCGTGGAAGCGACACAGGCAGGAATGATTTCAGTTTGGGCTTTCCTTGAGCTGAACATCGAAACGTTGGCGATGAGGTACTCACGACAACACACTTTTGCTTGAACAATGTTCGAATTCGGGTGGTCCGCTTGGTTGTGAAATTTGGGTTTTGCCCCCCGAGTCCTCCCCAAACCGACAGTAGGCTACAGATAATGCTGTCAGTTCCTCATATGATGGACTTCCACTCACGAAGTTCGCAAGCAGTAAAAAGAAGACGACAATAAAGCACATTGAGGTCTGCCTTGTCTAAGTCCGTGAACAACAATGTCCCTTGCAACTATGAAGGCTGCAACTAGTCCACATACGTAGCTAGAAACACCTTGCGCCCTTGTCGCCAAACAAGAGCTTCAGGCAAGCTTCTCTCGTGCGTTTGTGCGCCCAAAGCCGAAAGATCTTGAAGACCAGCGAGAACATCAGGTCGGCGTTGAGAAAGACGATCCGGCTAAGCCTTGGTATCACGTCGCGCTTCTCGGGGGCAGCGAAA